GTCTTGTTCGAGACTTATGGTCGCACCAGATGAGTTAGGACCGAAGTGTATAACTCATAGAGTAATTTCGGATAGGGTACACCGTCTGCTCGTCACGCTATCTTATTTTCGGCCGGATAGATTCGTGCAACTTCTTAGTCTAATACCGATCCTAATCTTACTCTTATACTATCTAGTCTCAGGTTGTTTAACTAGTCTCTGCTAGGCTCAATAGATCTAGGGTATACTGGTTTATTGCGGCTGCTGAAGTACTCGGGAGAGTTCAACTAATTTCTACGTTAAATTCAAATCTCTCTGGTGCTGAAATTACAAGTAATTTCAGCACTTACAAATAAGTGGATTGTTAGTTAGATGGATCATGATTGGTTAATATTAAATACTTTACATTGGTAAAATATCTAATTTATCCAATCATAAAATGTAGTTTAGATCAGGTTCCAGTTATGTAACTTATGTTTATTAGGTATTATGTACTATATTATTAACTCAAGCTACCAAGGTCAACATGGTAGTGACCGTCAACTGTGTGTTCAGCCATTGGCGCTGGTGACCAAAACGAATTCAAGTTGTCTTACTTACTTCTCTTTACTGACAACGTACATTGATACGTAACCAATGAGTATACTTCTACAGTGAGAATCTGAGAATCAAATAGATGATTAGAGTTTTTTTCAGTGCATCGTTTTAACTCATATCTCCGAACTTAATAAAACATTATATGAATAACTTATCATAATGAGAAAAACTAAAATCGCTTTAATTTTTACTGTCATGACTAACTTTTACATGCAGCGAAGTAGACACTCTTGTCGAACCCCCAGAAGAAAGGCTTGCACGCATCGCACCTCTTTCCAGTGACCCCTGGCTTACACAGACACTGACCCATCTCATCACACAGGTCAGAGTAGGACCCGTAGGGGTCACAGTCGCAGAATTCGGGACACCCTTCGTAATTTTGGCCCCCAGATGGAGTGTAGTTGTCCTTGCAGCAGCCGAAGGGACTGTCGGAGCAGGGAGGGAAGACCTCCACCATCCAGGATTCTACAAGGAATGAGAAGGTACTTTTTCGAGGACAAAAAAACTGGCTAAATCTAAGATAACTACGAAAAAATAATACGTTTCCTGCTTTTTACAAAAATTAAGAGCAAGATTATCTTTTCATTAGCTACAGAATTGTTGTAAGAACTGTTTACTAAGTTCGCAATGATATTCATATAAATATATTTTTAAATAAGTAATCTGGCATCCTCATTATAGCCATTCATTGAAAAGAGACGACTATTTGGTAGGTAAGATAACCGTAATGCATATTGCTGCACCGATTGTTACAAGGGGTATTAGTTAGGGGGCGCAACATTTGATCCCCGTTTGAGCTGAACAACTCGTAGGTTGGTCCTCTCTCGCGTGAATAAATAGTCTTATCTTAAACAGTTGATAACTAACTGAGGCTACAGCAGGTGCTCCTCTCACAAAATGCACCCGTTGGACACTGACTGTCGTCCGAACATCTGAAGATGTCCTCGGCCATATCATCCCGATACACTAGAGAGGAGTCGTCCCCGAAGCACGAATCTAAACCCAAAATCTTGTTGTCCGCTACTTCAAAGTTGATTTTTTTAGCGTGATTTCAGGTAGCTCAAAACAAGCGCATAAATATTATATGGGTATCATTTTCACAGTTTTTCGGTCATGCTTTGGGTTCGAAAATGTCATTAAGGTGCAAAAATCTGAAGTTACCCAAAACTGGTTGCTGCGTTTTTTGCGTCAGGCGTGAAAACCTTGCTGAACCATTTTTAGCCGTGAGAGATAGGAAAGGCTGAACGTCTTCACTTGAAAGTTTCTTGAGTATTTCAGATTCTCTTACTTCGCAAAAATGAAAGGCATAATCGCAAAAAAAAAACATCTCAGAAGTTGCATGTTTCTTTACAAACTTTTTTTGGTCCAAATATAAACATGCAAAAAAATGCAGCTGACTTTTTAGCGGTCCAATTTAAAAAAGATTTAGGCAATCGCGGTTAAAACCTGAATTTTTCAAAACTTATAAATTATAAACGCACAATTATACCCAATTATATTACACAATTTTTGAAGATTGATGAATACGAACTACAATTATTTTTAAAATATCACTGTCTAAGAGCATCAGCAGAATAATTACTTTTGATGTCACAGATTATCCGGTCGTTTGTGACTTTGTAGCTCACATTGTTCATACATTCTGAGAATTTCAGCTCGCACGTAGTCTCAAAAGCCATTCCCGACTCAGTGCAAATTGAAGAGTCGTCCAATTTCGTTTTCGTCTTAGTGGACACTGACTTCTTGTCGGCTATCATAGATGTGGGGGGACAAGGCTTGCACGTGCATTCCACTTGGCCGTTGCGTCCAGTTGGCAGACATTCTCGGGGCGCTTTGCATTGTTTGCGGCACTGTTCTATTACAGAGCCAAAACTTTTCATTCAAATTTTGGATCTTGTTAATTATATACCCATTAAAAAAAGGCGATTCGCTACGAAGTAACCATGAAAAACTATGTTGTGAATAGAAATTACTTGATATGACTTGACTCTCGGAAACGTCAAAAGTTAGAATATATTGAAAAAAAAGATAAGAAAAGGAAAGAAGATTTTGTGTCGTCATCACTAACCGGAAGCGAACTTTTCATTGCAGAAACCTTTGTTGTTCAGTTTGATTTCAGCACTCTTTTTTGTACACGCATCCTTTCTCAATTCACACATGTTTGAATAAGTCACTCCGAGAGAAGAGCAAACGGGGTCGAAGTTCTCGCCCTCGCACGATTCGCGACACGAACACTCTCGTTTCTCGTCGCGGCTGAAGCACTCGGCTAAGAAGGGACACTGGTAGCCCTCGCATAGGTCAGGGGGACAAAATCCATCACGCATCACCGCTATGTCAACCTAAAGAAAACACCAAAAAACTAAAAAAAAAACATTTTAAAACCAGAGTTTAAAACTTGTCTTTCCCAAAAACTTTTTGCTTGTCGAGTTTGGAAATATTAAAAGTTGAATCAATATTAACTTCTTTTTTACAGTTGAAAATTAATCTGGTTATTTAATCGACATTAAATTCATATGAGCAAACACATTTCACATTTTTTCTAGTCTGTTATGAAAACTTAAACATAGCATGAACTGGCTCGCACTTATTTAGTGCAGATTTAGTTCTGAAGCTTAAATTGACAAATTTGTCCTTTTCCAGATTTCGCCATTTTTCAAAGAGCCTTTTACAGTGGACTCGTGGTTGGGCGGTTTGCATGCGTTGACGCTGGCGCTGGCGCTGGCGCTGGCGCTGGCGCGCCGATAACCGCCACGCGTTTCCATAAACAGTTCCGGAGTGCAAGGTCGCAACACGTATCAGCTCAATACAGCAACGCTTTATAAATATGGTATTCCATCAAAGGCCATGACTTCCTAGCTGCGACCAAAAATGCTGCCTATTTTTCTGAAGATTCGGCTCATTACTTTTGATCCATGGAACAAAAGCCTGACAAATTTCTGGAAAAATGACGATCGATTAAGAAGACCAATATTTTAAAAACGTGAACTCATCCGTTTCTTTTCACCAGAAATTAGGTTATTCACACGATACTCTTAAAAAATTAGGCAGATCTCATTAAACAGATGAAGCAGAGTACATTAAGCAGACCTCAAAAAACCTAGACTAAAAAGGGAACCAATTTCAATCCGGGAAGATATGGACTAAACAAAAAAAACGGTTTGTACCATTGACTTGTTTGTACTGGCCTTGTTTTTGCAGGAAGTGTCTCTAAGGTGACATAAGTTGGAGTAGTTTCTGTTGTCAGTGCCGCAGAGGGGTCTCCTCCCCCAGAGACTGCAGTCTAATTGGGGACACTCACACCTGGTGCTGTTCAGGGACACCAGCACACACGTCGCGTAGTGGCGACACTCCCTCCCCACACACAAATCTGAATCAGGGAAATTGGAAGTTTAAGGGAGATATTTTCATAAGTTTGAGATAAAAAAAAAGACGCTAATCAATCAAATGGACTTTGCTCAAAAAATGGACAAAAGCGAAGCAATGGATGCTTTTTTCACCGGGATTATAAATAATTGAAATAAACCTCAATAAAGAAATGTTTATAAAAGAAATGTTTTTGGGAAAAGTTTAATTACAAAGCGCTGAGTTTTTTCATCCTGTTTAAAAGCGCCCTGTGAGAGCTAAAAAATGGTTCAAGCCGATTTTTTCAATTTCTCATGTTTTTTAAACTCAAATTGCTCCCTAAACCCGAGAATTCTTTTAATACAAACAGGCTCGGATCGAGGACTTTCTCGAGGAATGGGGGGGGGGGTGCATTTTCAAAACAATTTTGAAAACTTTGTCGACCTTTTTTTTAGGTCGACCAAATTGACCACTATAAAGACCCAAGTTTGACCAAATTTTCTGCGCCGCATGCAAATTTTTGGAAATTTTCGACTAAAATATTGCGTTTTTTCGACGCGCGCTTCCCCCTCATAATAAGTATAGATTGGCGTCAAAGGCGCCTTTAGAAAAATTTTTAGGTCAGTCAGCCAAAAATGGATATCTCAAAATAGTACAAAGGGGGGACCCTTTGGGTCAGCTGGGGTTCGAATCTCTGAGAAAAAGAACATGCCCCCCGCCCCCTCCCTAAATCCGCTACTGAGTACAAATAAGAAATTAGCCTGGCTAAAACCACTGACCTGGACAGGGTGCATTTGAGAGGAGTGTCACCTGTTTCTCCCCCGGACTCTTCCTGCAGTTGGCCATGTCCAGCTCACACTGGCTGTCATACGTTGTCAGGTCAGACCCACACACAGGTGCTGTAATCAAAGTCAGGAGGAAATGAGACGCCTCATTTGGCATACATATCTATTAGCATAGCACTACCCGCACTCAGTAAAAAGAGAAAATAATCGGTTATATTATAATTATAATCGTACTTTTAGCAAAATTATAATCGATTTTAACGATTTTTATTGTTTCGAAAAATAGTAACATTATAATCCATTTTAAATCAATAATAATCAATTTTTTTTGAAATTTATGGAGACTAATTATAAAAATCCATTATAATCTATTATTTTCTGTTTTTACTGAGTGCGGGTAGCAAACTGTTGATAGCGATTTTAACAACAGGTCTTAAAGTTTCACGAGCTTTATTATTTTCTCGGTTATACCCCTTATATGAGGAGAGAAAACTAAAAATCCAGTGAAATAGAAAATATTGTGGGCTTCAATAAATCTGCTGGTAAATTAACCTAACTTAGTGTTCCGAACATTTTGTATTCGGGTGAGTTTTAGTTTATAAATGTTTTCCACGCAAAATCAGGTACAACAAATTGAAACAGGTTGAGTGATGATTCCTATTTAGTCTGTTTCATTTGTGATTCGAACGATATTCAAAAAATTAAATATTCTCTCAGTGTCGGAAAAACGAGAAAAACCTGGTTGAAGTTTTTAATAGTTAGTCCAATTTCAAGCTGATAAAGCGAATGATGATAATTTATAATAAACTTATTATAAGCTGATAGCAGCCTTTAAGACTTCGTAAAGCCAAAATCCTAATACAGTAAAATGAAATTAACGGACTTTTTTGGCGCTTTTTTGGGGAAAAAAAGTAAAAAAGCAAAAAAAAATACTCTGCCAAAAATGTGAAAAAAAAAATCATTTTTTTGGTTTTTTAATTTTTCTTAGTTTTTTCTGATTTTTTCTATTACTATCGAAACTTACTATTGATTTTTTGGCAGATCTTCACATCACACCATAAATAAAAAAACAACGCAATTTTAGTTTTTTTTTAAATGATGGCCGGAGCTTCCTGCGCTAATTGCATAACAACCAGCTATCCTTGTTAGTATGGCTTTGGTCAACGTCACATTTAGGCGAAAACCACGCCCGGCTTGCTTCTCCGATCTCGCCATAACAGAACAAGGGTAGCCGGTTATTTTGCAAATAAAACAGAATGTTCCCAACATAGTCTGAACAAAAAAAAAAACATTTTTTTTTTCAAATTATTTTCGTTTTTTCTATGCGGTGTTATGAAAAGATCTTAACTAAACAATGAAAACTAAGCATATTTGACATTCAAATCGAATAGGGCGATTAGATAACAGTTTTTGAAGAAAAAGACTAAGAAAACGAAAAAAAACTGTAATTAAGATTTTAAAAATATCATTTCACAGTTTTGTCCAAAGTTTTAGCAGAATGTTGAAAAATTTTATCCCCAAAATGGCGCTAAAAACCCAAAAAAAACAATTTCGTTTGAAGGAAGTTAATTTTTCACGGCTTAAATTGAGCTGAAATAAGCTTTTGTAAATCTGCACGCTGAACTTATTAGCTGGAAATTAGACCAAAAACAAAAATTTTGAAACGGTTTTTCTAGACACTGAGATTTTTTTTTGTGAATTAGTGTCGCTCGAATCACGACTGAAAGGGATTCAATAAAATTTTTGGTTCAACCTATTCCATTGATTATTTGTGGTACCTGATTTTGCGAGGAAAACAAAGAAAAAAACCAAAACACACCCGAATATAAAGTTCCTCAGCATTTTTCAAATCGTCGGGAAAACAAGGATTTTGTGTATGTAGCACAAAAAACACTATCATACTGATTGAAGAAAAATTAACAAAAAAATTGAGAACTAAAAAAAATAATTTTTGTTTTTCAACTTTAAAAAAAATTTCGTTTTCCTGTTATTATTATTATTTAAAAGGGTATTAGATTAGGGTTATAAAGTGTGCAAAGTGGTAACAGTAGCTAACGTAGCTTCAAGAATGTAGTAAACTTTTGGTTAAAATTTTAGGTCAGACTTTACTCAAATTGTCTAATTTAGTCTGGAACACGAAACTATTGTGAACAGTTTTTTTCGATATCAAATATCAAGATAACTTTGTATATTTTCCTTTACTAATCGTTTGCTAACCCATATCACAATTAATAGGGCTTCAATACGGTACAACTTTTGACACCTACGAGATATATTTGAGTAGTCAAAATCAGGAAAAAATAACAAAATTACGCGATAGTTTTCCGCAACTCATTTAGGGTGGTAAAAGATGTTGGTCGGAAAAAAAACCGAGAAAGTGGTGCATTTAAATTTAAAAGAGAACCGTGAACTAAAAATTATACTTTGTGAGATGTATAGAGAAAAAGAGAGAGTGGCTCAAAAAGGGTGAAAAAAAGGGAGTCGTGATGTCGTCTTTAGGATTTCCACACACGGTCTTGCGAAGCTATCCCTTTTACCGTGCTAAAGCAGGGGGCACTAAGGCTCGGTATTAACGACAATCCCGAAAGGGTTATTTTAGTGGTGAGTTGTCCTCTACTGTATTCTATTGCTCCCCCTTGGTCAGTGATGCTCTTGCTCGCTATATCTCGCTTGAAGTCGCGTATAACGAATTCCTTTCTCTCAAATAAATTCAATATATATATATATGTCTGAATGAATACAAAGGGCCTACTAGTTCGGCCAGCGTATAATTTAATAATATACAACAGAATGGTTTGCGATCTGTACACGCTTAACAATTTCTTCTGCGTACTCGGTCAGTACACGTGTCGACTAAGCACTCTGACTTGTGCTAGCTTCTGCTCTAACTAATATTCCACAAGGCACTTCGACTTGCGTTCTTACTTCACTCGCTGTGAAACAATTAACTGATGAGTTCAGATAGCGACCACAACTGGGACCTACTGAATCTTACGTTCGTTAACTCGTTATGCTTAAAATCCGCTCTCTAACCTCCACTTCATATCTCTATTTGTGCTCCGTTTTTGTTAAAGTCACGCCACTTCATATCGGTGCTGTCATCCCCTTAAGCACAACCGCCCCCTATGGTTTTCCCTTTCACCTACTCCCCCTGTCAAAGCTGACGGGTCTCAAGTCCGGGGTTTTTATCGACTTGTTCACGTTTCGTAAATACATCCCCCTGCGGTTGGCATCGTAAATCGGGTAAGTAACCGAAGTCGTATGATTCTTATCAGTTAAAACCCCCCTTCGCTACTTACTTAAATACCAACTGACTTCGGTGTCAAATCTTGACCCAAGCAACGAAGTCATACGATCCCAATAAACTAACCATAACCCGATTTTGAACCAAATTTACTAATATTTTCCCTATCATGTTAGGATAAAATACACGGTCGGTAAGTCGAAAATTTGCTAGAATTACCGATTCTACACGTGAAAAGGGAGTCGTGAAAAGGGAGTCGTGAATATAATTTAATAAAGTTTGCACTAAAAAGTATGTTTTGTGAGATGTATATAAAATGATATACTGCACCTATTTGTGAGGAGGGACAGTCGTCTCTGCAGACACAATTGGGTTTGTTGTCTTCGTCCACGATACACGTGAGTCCTGGTCCACGAGCAGAGCAGGAGATACGGTCACACGGGTTGCGATCTGCGAAAAATCATTCTTCGGTCTTTCTGTTTTCTAAGGTGTAAAATAAAAAAGCTAAATGTGAAAACTTGAAATAAACGAGCCATAAATTTCGATAATTCTAGGACTGCAATCGACAAGTTTTGAATAAATCAGTTTTTTTTTCTTAAATATCTGGACTAGTTACAGACGAAATTATCAAACAGCAGAAAATTTTGTTCTCTCAATAGACAAAGTTAACATCTTCTACCTCAATATTCGTTTCGGACTAAATTTACTTCTGAAATTTAAAATATCTGAATTTATCCAGGAAACTGATTAGACAACTGTTTGAAAGATAAACTTGTAAAACTTGTTATATTTCACCAATTTTGAAGTTGTCGCACACTCCGTAGAAAACAGTCTGCACAGTGGATTGAGTGGAGCACTCATACAGTCTCTTCAGACAAAGATTGTCAAATGTCTGCAAAGATCCATCCGAAGACTTCTTCCCACACACTGAAAATAATGAACCTTTCGGTCTTTTTAATGTTAAGGGAAAGCTCAAACATCGCTTTATCAAAGCTCAAAAACCAATAAGTTTTTAGGTGTATTTGAAAATAAGTTTTCAAAAATGTTTCTGAAATCACTTTAAAAAAATCACAACTCAAAGCTCAAAAAAAAAAAATTTATTTGTATTTGAAAATCAATTTTTTTTGGATAATCAATAATGTATAGTCAAAGTTGTTATTGTTTATACTTTGTCCGAATGAAACAAATCTCTGTCTGCTCAATAAAATCAAAGTGAAAGAAATATAGGTTTTAGACTGCACTTACCTAAAAACATGATTATTTTTTTTAAATGAAGGTTGAAAATTGATGACCGTAAGACTAGCTCACCGGGTGCGAAGTGTGACCCGCATTTGAAGTTGCACAAACAGACCAATTGTCTCTCCTGGGTGACATTGCACGAGGAGTAGTGGCCACATTTCTTACCACAAACTGGACATACAAGAAAGGGATTCAGTTAAGAGGCGAGGAGAAACAAAAGGTTAATTACAATTATATCAGGTTTCATCAAGTTAAGTTAAGACAATTTATCTGATCAAGGAAACCAGCGGCATTTATGACTCTCCTCTTTTTCCTTTCCCCGAACAGTGAAACGAAATTTTCTGTTTTCACTATCCGGTTGTTAGAAAAATTGGCATGCGAACTAATTAGGCCATGACAAAGATATTTGGTCTGATTTTTGACCTTGTAAGACCCCTCGTTACATCTTAAAATTGATTCTTTTGTGAGATTGGGGAGGGGAGGGGGAGGGGAGGGGGAAGAGAGGGGAGGGGAGGGAGGGGGAGGGGAGGGGGGGTAGGGGGGGTAGGAGCAAGATCATTTACCTCTTCCACCCCATTGTAACACTTCGCAGGGGCTCTCTGCAATGACAGCTATGTCCTTCTGGTACACACAGCTGTACTGTGCCAAATCACACCTGCTCATAGTCTTACCCTCACCTAAATAGATGCAGATAATTTATTCAAGAGAGAGTTATACTTGTACAATAGGTTAACGAGACTGCTTGTTCAGAAGATTTCACTAAGAATCATGCAAAAAGCTATACAGCTTATCTAGGCCTGACCCTGAAAAACTTAAGACAGAGAAATTGAAACCAAAACGATGTTTTTTTTAAACAAAAAAAAGATGAAAGTGTCCAAAGTTGGCGAACGTTTTCGATTACGACTATTGCAAATTGTAATCATTAAAAATATTTAAAATAATCAATTATAAAAATGTAGATTCGGACCTTCCAAAATGCTCTCAAACAGTCTTGTAGCCTTACGATGACCATTCGAATCGGCGCTACTAAAATTTTACTTCTGTAAATAGTTTTGTCATGTGATCGATTGGTTAACAAAATTATTTTAGTTGAAAAGGCATGAAAACTCGCGTTTCTATATTACTGAAGTGATTTAAAAACAAAACCCTTTGACCTCATCTAGAGAACTGAGGATTCACTTTCCAATTGGCGATAACAGTTGTGCTCCAATATGCTTGCATGTACAAACTCACAATTGAGGACAAGGATGGTCATTACGAGGCCAAACTGTGCACTGGATAGGCGCAAAATTTTGTGTTTGCATGTTCGTGGATTCCAGATGCAAAACTTTAAACATGTTAAGTTTTTTATCGGAACGATCAACGAAAAGGAAAGAACAAAAAAGACCAAAGAGAGAGTCCTTGTTGCGGAATTTGCTTACAATTCACAAAATGCACTGTTTGGCCTCGTAATGGTACGATAAGCAAAATTTTTTATTATTGCTTTAAATATGTCTACGATTCGATGCAAATGAATACATAAATGAAACTTGTAAGTCCATAAATTGTATGTCTATACTGTGTCCTTACTAGTGCACACCAATTGTTCCCTTCCAGAGTTCCCTGAGGCACACTCGAGTAGCTGGTCACGTGAGCAGGCACAGTAGGGTTTCCGGGCTGCATCCAGCCGGCACACTCCGCCTGTGTTGCGGGCGCAGGGGTAGAGGTTCTTGCGACGCATTGCTTCACATGGATCTGATCAATTAGTCCATTTTCAAACATTAGCCGAAAAAATTTCAAAACCACATGGATATCATATTTAAGGATAAATTACAAAAAAGAATCATGAAAATAATGTCATTTATAATATTGATGTTGTCATTTACAACATTTTTTATCAGCAAATAAACAAAAATAAAGGCATAATTTACAAAGTTGTACCTCATTTATGTGAAGTCAAATTTTTTAAAAGTCTCATTTCTTTATAATATTGTCATTTTCAAAAAGTTTAAGGTTTAGCTTCGTTTAGTTGGTATTTATGATTTTCTTAGTATTGAAAGTTTAATGACAATTGAATGATGACTCACCGCAGTTGGTGTTGAACTTGACCTTGATTGGCCTCTGGGTGGGACACATGTCTTTCTCAATCTCACACTTGCTGCTGTAGTCCCGCCCATTGTCCCCACACAACTCCACCCCCTCACTCCCATTACCCCAATCTCCCTCCCCCTCCCCACTCCCTCCAATCTTGGAACCCACACTCTTGCTCCCCTCGTCACCTCCCCCCGGGGATGCGGGGGAGGGGCAAGATTTGGGACAGACGCATCTGGCGGATATTTTGTCAGTGCTGGACAGACAGTAAGCTCCGTGGTAGCACTTGAGACGGTCACAAGGGTCAGGCAGATCTAGATCGAAAAAAAACCGTCAATTAAAATCAAATATTAAGAAGCCTTTTAGCTTTTTTCCACAACTTATTCGATTTTTATGTACTTAGCTAACTTTGGCTTAAATGGATTTAACAGTTCATTCACATTATGATCAGGACACGTTCATTCTCTCCGGCGGAGAGAATGCTCTCTCACATCTAGATGTTTTATTTTGCAGGTTAATTCACTTCTTATTTTTTAACCTTTTAATTGTATGCTAAAAATATTAGCTGTAACACGTATTTTTTATCATGGCGCAGTCAACAACGAATCCAATATGAGAGGAATACCTCCATCTCGACAAAACCATACGAGTGACCCACCAGTTCCTCGGGAAGAGTGGAGCGATCTTTTTCATCATGCTATAATCGCGAAGGAAAATGTAGATATCGAAAACCACTTAATCCGATTAAAATACATCACCCACAACCCTCAGTATTTGAGGATCAGACAAAAAATGAATCGGAAAACCACGAGAATAGCTCGACTCGAAAAAAATATCCGAGAAAAGATGCGATACGAAGACGAAAAACTACCATCAAGTAAGTCAGAAACTAAACGATTCAATGGAATGAGAATTGACAAAACCGACAAAAAACTCCGCTCAATTCTCTACCTAGCCCTCGGAAAAAAAGGAAAAACGATAATCGGACAAAAAAAATCACAAAAGTGAAAATTCTTCAAATCTCCTGCAAAGAGTTATGGTAAAATCTGTCCGGGCGTTTGTGAGAAAAACAAATATAACTTTTGAAAGGTACAAGTTGCTCAACAGAAAACAACGCAAAAAATCGTTGGACCAATTTTAGGGAGTCTTGACCGAAATGGCAAAAAAATGTGAAATATTCGCCGGAGAAGACGAATGGATAAGGGATATTTTTATAAGCGACATGAAAAACTCAGATATTCAGAGAAAATTACTGAGAAAAACCCTCCCACCTCTGGAGACACTAAACTTTGATAGCATTGATAGACGAAAAAGTGATAATGAAGGGGACTAATAGTTTTAAATCCGACGGATCATCTGTATATCAATCCCACAATCTTTTCAACGTTAAAAGAGAACCAACTTTGAATATTGAGCAAAATAATACCTCTATGAAATGTGGCGGTACCGTCTCTAAAGTTCGCTTTGCAGTTTGTCCGGCGAAGGATACAACCTTTACATAATGTAAAAACAAAGTCTACTTCACCAGACTATGTGAGTCTTGTCGTGAAAATGTAAATAAAATAGATATCTAAAATGTAGATAATACAGATTTTTATTATTCTCCCAATATCCCTCACCGGCTGTAAATCTCGACCGTGTAAATAGAGAGTGCTGTAGAGTTATCAAAGCATGGTCAAAATCCGGATAGAGCGACAACTTCAAATTTAATACGATTTTGGACGACAAAGGAAAAGAAATAAAAAAATTGCTAATTATTGGCCTAAAGAAAACCAAGTATTCCTAAATATACAAGTGGACTTTGCCAGTCCGGTTAGTTTCCTTGTGGGAATTGTCCTCCACAAACTGAAGTTACGAAACCCCTTTTTGAAGGCTCATTCGGTGAATCAACGAACAAAGGGTTTATATTGCTGTTTTAGAATGCCATAAACTTTCCAAGATTGCCATTTGTTCGTAACAGAAGGCCGGGAGAGAAATATCCATTGAAATGACAAATTACCAAAAGTGGGGATAGAGCTCTCGCAGAAGCACTTCCCTCATTTTTAGACCAAAAGATCTGTAAGTCTATAATTTTTTTGTTTTCCTGCCAAAGTAGACAGGGAGATCAAATATAATTCTAGGATTTCTACACAACAATTCCTTTGGGTAAAAAAATACAAAAAATCAGATGAAAATTACTCCTTTCCATGAACCTTTAAAATTTATTCAGGTATAAAGTCGACAGGTTTGCCTTCATTTTCTCGAATCATTTAAAATAAATTGAGCCGACTCAACTCCAAAAGACAAATGAAAAGTCTGAAAAATTGCAATGAAGGTAGATTCATTAGCAAAATCGTCATCAGTTGCAAAAAGACAAATCAATCAAATTAGAGCTAGACTCTAAATTCATCAACAAACAAATTTACAAAAATAAAAATAACAAATGCCGAATAGTCAGGAAATGCTTGCTAATGTAGCGGCACAAAATTCATATGATTCCATTGAAAATCATTAGTTCACTAATTTAGATTTGAAAAATGCCTATGGCCAACTGTCACTGGAAATTTTCACAAGTAACCAGTATAATTTTAGTATACTAGACGGCGATATTACCTAGCGTTTGTGGCTAGCGTTTATGGACATGGCAATATATCTAACGATTTTCAATGAGTCACGGACTCATCAACTTTAGGAACAATCATAAAAAATATGCTAATTGCATCCAAAAGAAGTTTCTTAGCTCACAAATACTCCGTTGATGAATTTTCATCGATTTCAGAAAATAATGTCTTTGAGGTCAAATAGTCGAAATGCAAATTCTTCCAAAGAGAAAAAGAACGGTTCGAATGTAAAATTTAAAAATCTGGAATTTCCTGGCTGATAGATGAAGTAAATGCAATCAAATATCTACCCATTCCAAAAAAACTGAATGATTCAGATGGTTTTTTGTGTCTATTAACCAATACAAAAAAAATTACCCCAGAGTTATCTTCCTTGAGAAGCTTTTTATGCCATTTGATGATGAAAAATCTTCTATCTATTGGAATGAAGATCACACAATAAAATTCCAGAGAAATAACCAAGAAATTGTAAGCCTGACAGAAAATAATCATTTCAAGGTAAAACTTAACAGGAGAATAAAGAACGACGCATCCCATAAAAGATTCGGGGCATCTTTGGAACAACTTCACGGAACGATAGGAAAACGGTTTCTTTTGCTTCCAGATTTATAAACCCGCACGAATGGAAACAATCTACCAATGAAGTGAAACTCATAGGAACTGTTTGGGCGGTGGAACACTATAAAAAGTATCTTTACGGATCAAACTTCGAAAATTTTACGAATCATAAAGCCCTTCTTTTTGCCCTGTCAACAAACCACGGGAATAAAACTGACCACATCAGATAAACTAGATGGGTTGATCAATTGCTACCATTTAATTTTTTGGTTGAACACTTGGCAGGAAAAGACATGGCATTCACCGTCCTAACCTCATAAATTCCGCCAGGAAAAGCCTTACGCCCTCGCATTACAATAGAAATGTCGCGGTGGCAACACTTAACAAAAAACAAAACGATATATCCTTCGGCTAACTTCTTATTAGCCTCATTTCTAAAACTTATCAACTCGACTATTTCAGTTTGCGACTTACAACACAATCGAACTAAACTTTGTAATTTGAAATGCATTCCTTCTGATTATTCTGATATTAATTTTTCAAAAATTTCTTTTCCCAATTCTGCTTTTCAAATTTTTAAATTCTCTATTGTAACCTAATCAATTCTTCTTTAGATTTAAAAAATTGTAAATACTGTGAATATTACAAATAAAAAAAAAGTACATAATCTTTCTATTTAAGATAAAGAGAGCATCAAAGTAAATCATTTTTACAAGACATTGAACCAAAATATTGTTAATGCTTCTAAATCTGCATTTGAATTATCCGAGGGAAAACTGATCAGAAAATTGGGTTTTGCTTTACCAAACTCCAACTCAACTTACATTCGATGTTTTAGAAGAAACATCTAATTACCATTTTCCCAACCATTATATTGAAGTAGGTGGGAAGTGAACTAACCAGCAAAAGCCTCTCGTGTTCAGAAAACATGGCCCCAGTACGAGACAAGAAATCGAGAGGGCCACGTCGGACCAAAACCAGGGTTTACAACTACTCAAACTATGCTTCAAGAAGACAACCTTCTGGTCCTAAGAAACCAATTTTCAACACAAGTTACCTATTTTGCGATGAATTTTCGTTCATTTCTTCGGATACTTCCGGTTTTGGTGACTGGGAATGTATAACCGGAGGTTTACCTAACAGGGATTTGGTTAGGGAACGTAAAATTTCGGACGGAACTAACAAATCGAATTATGCTAAATCTTTCCCTCATCCTCAAACCAGCCGGAATAACACAAAATTTGAGATTTTAGATGATCAAGTAATTGAACCTTTAATGCCAGAATGTCCAATAAGCATTATCTCAGCCGAGCCTAAGGAATCCACACTGACATCTAACCTGGACACCACACTACTAATCTGCCTGATGAAAGCAGTTCCCAACAATCAGAAAAACTCCCAGTAAACATCCCAAATTACGATATCGTCGACTCATCTGAGGAGGCCCCAATGGAACAAACGACGACTAGCAAACCCAGTAACTAAACGGTTTTATTTAGGTCAAGCCGAAATGTGGGCCCGCGGAATTTTTACGAACAAAGGTATGTCAAAGATGTTATAGATCAATTAGACGAAGCCTCTGGATCTGCTACTTACCCAATCCTCTTAAAAAGTATCAGCCCAAATGAGTCACAACCAACTTCAGTTTGCTTAAATCCTTCGGATGACTCAGACATATTGTCCGACACTGCTTCATCGATCATCAATTCCCCTTCTTCAGCTGATCGATTTTTAAGAATAGACATAGAAAATTTCGGTGAGAACGCCTATACCGACAGCGAATTGTTCAATGCCAAACTAAAAAATTTCATCAGCGGCGACAAAAACTGAAACTAAAACTTTTTTTAATTTTCATATTATTTTCTCTCCCCTAGTCACTTCTAAACATAAAGTGTTACTCACATTTCATCAATATTTTTTGTAGATGAACGCAATGATTGATATATCTTCAATTCTAATTTTAACCTTATTGAAACCTAATCCACGACTCATAATTTTGCAATCAAAGGGGAGAAAAGGGGCAGTTATTGTTACTTGCTGTAATATACAATTTTTCCTGTATTGAGAAATGATGCAATTCTTCATGTGCCTAGCTTACTTTAGCCTAATTGGATTTGACAGCTCATTTACGATATGATCTTGACACGTTCATTCTCTCCGGCGGAGAGAACCCTCTCACATCTTAATGTTTTAACTTTCGGATAATTTCATTTCTTATTCTTTTAGCCTTTTAATTGTATATAAAAAGAATTAGCTGTAACAAAGTAACATTCTATCAACAACTCCCCTCTCACATTTCAAACTTTTCTTTTTCTCAATTGTTTTACGTGTTATTATGGTTGAACGCAAAGCAACGATATCACAAAGTAAGTTGTGAGGAGCAAAAGTTTTCACGATGAATAGTTTGTTATTATGACAACATAAAATTGGTTTTTAAAAACTGAGTGATATCTATCGCATTGAAGCCCTTGCAGTCGATATTGCGAGTTGCAATGAAAAATTTCAAATAATTTGGCACGCAGTCGAAAAGATTAATTAAAATTTCAAATTGTGTTTTTAATATCAAAAACGACAAACCGATCAGGGGTGGGGGGGGGGGGGGGTTATTTTCAAAAAAAGTTCGAAAGTTTTTCAACCTTTTTGAGCTCGCCAAATTGATTTTACGAGCTCTCAAAATCCCTATAAAGATCCTAGTTTAACCAAAATGTCTGCGCCGCAGGTAAAATTTTGAAAAAACGGGCCAAAAAAACGTTTAAGGCACTTTTTGGAAAACTTTCACCAAAAAATTAGCGTTTTTTGGCGCGCGCTTCATCCTCGGGTCGACACAGTTGGTCGAATCCCTGAGGGTGAGGGTGCATTCCCCGCCCTTCTAAAGCCGCTGGTGAAACCGACATCAAAAGTTGTGATAACTTAAAGAATAAAACTCACCGCAGAATCCCTCGTAGATAACTTTTAACATAGCTCCGATGAAACACGACGTCTTGTTCACTTCACACTCATTCGTATAAGTCACCTGAAAAAGCCCCATGAAAAATTAGCAGTCGCTAAAAACCATGATTTTCTTTATCAGTATTCTTACGAGTGATAAATCACGGCAACAAGACACCGATTGACACAAAGTCATTTCAGCCAATTAGAATTTATATTTCAAACTTGAAAAAAAAAATGAGACATTTCATTCAGTCTTTTGGACAATTAAAGTCTCAAAATACAACCCTTCACTTTTATTATGATTTTTTTTCTTCAATTTTTAACGTTTTCAATTTTAATTTTATTGGATGGAAAATCTCTGCCTTTCGGTTATTCTGCTCCGAGACTAATAACCCTAATATTACCCCGTCATTGGCACAGACTGGGTTGTACTTCTGGAATGCACAGTCAGGACATTTGCACACAGACTGCTGAGTCTGGGCATCCGAAACACACGAGGCCATTGAATGACATCGAACACCTCCACACGACGACTTAGAAGCTGAAAACAAACGGTGACTCTAAAATAAAAAACTTAAACCATGAAATTTCGTTTCATCATAAACTAAGTCTTCAATGATTAAATACTTAGTTTAATTTCGAGCCTTATTTTTCAAGATTGTCTCAAGAATTTAAACGTCTTTCGGTCAAGAGGTTACTAGTTGCAAGCATATCAAGTTTCAAGTTTTTATCTTGCAAGATCTTGCACAATTCTTGAAAATAATGTTTATCTAGCAAGGGCAACGCCACTTTATCTTGCAAGACGCCGCAGTTTATCTTGCAAGACGCCGCGGATTATCTTGCAAGACGCCGAGTTTATCTGGCAACGCCAGTTTATTTAGCAAATTATTTTTATCTAGTAAGAGTCTTGGGGGGGGGGGCTAGGGAATTACACGAAAAGCAAATTAGACGTGACCAACAAAAACGAATTTAATGCAAAATCACAAATATGGGAAATTAGACGTAATTGTATTGTTCGTGTTTGAAATTTGTTTACCGACTACAATTAACTTTCGTTCAGCTTTCTTAAATGCAAATCAACTTTTCACATGCCGCAATTTTCTTATGCCGCATTTTTCACATGCCGAAATTGTATAATTTATGCATTTCAAAAATGTTTTATAATCTTGAAATTAACATTTTATAAATCAATTGAGATAAATATTTTGATATGCAATGGGATCATATATTATTTTTAAAATTATGAAAACTTGTTTTAAGCATTAAGTTTTGTTAGCCCTTTGCTTTCCGTATAAAATTCTAGTTTTGCAAAAAATAATTTAACGTCAAAATTCGTTTTTGTTGGTCACGTCTAATTTCCTAACCCCCGAGTCTTGGCAACGCCAGTTTATCTTGCAAGACGCCGCAGTTTATCTTGCAAAACGCCGCAGTTCATCTTGCAAGACCAGTTTATCTGACAAGGGTCTTGGCAACGCCAGTTCATCTTGCAAGACTCATATTACAAGTTTATCTTGCAAAATTCTTGAAAGATAATTATTGTCGTAGATTGATAATGATCGTCAAGTTGTTTCATTTCAGAAAAAAATCAGAGAGTAGGAAAAAAACAACAAGCTCGGAAGCACAAAGACCTGTATTTGAAAGCATTATTCGGAAAATTGGTCTTCATTCATTACTTGGATTTATTAGGCATTATTCCAAATTCCTGGAAGACAAACATGAAAAACGCTTATCAAGAGTTTTTTATCAACTTAAGATAAACAGGCAACTAAAGAAAATAGCTCAACATTGTTGTTTTGGAATAGAAATTAGATAACGATGATAATTTATTACCAAAAGGAAAAAGGATAGCTGGTTGCCATGCAAATAGCACAGAATGTTCCACCCACATTTATAAAAAAACGTGATAAATGGTCATTCAATTTTTTCAAAATAGGGTCTTTTTTGTGCGTGCTGTGATAATAAAAACTATACAACAGCGTACAACTAAAGTGTTTAGGCATAATCGACAACATTTGTCTTCAAACGACAACAAACAAAACAACGAAAAAAAATACTAATTTTTACTATTTTTTCAGTATAAATTTGCGCCATGGAAGAATGAAACTTGCAATATTAATTTTTCAGCCGGAAAAAAATATATATTAAAAAATTTTCTTGTTTAAGACCTTTTACTTGCTCGCTTTACTCTAGACTAAAACTGTAATTAAAACTCTAAAACAAGTAACAAATTCATACATCAATCTGAGTTTGCGTTTTATCTTTTAATTTGATTTCGAGATCCTTTCAATTATTTGTTCTTTTTTTTCTACGAGATTTTTTTCAAGTCGAAAGCCAATAGTGTCCAAAAGAATTATTAAAAAAAATTAATATCACTGCAGTTAATATCACTTTCAGCTAGATGGTTGTATATATGCTATGGTCGTTAAATGAAGCATATTGTGTACATAGTTAGTTGGGTATCTCCATGAAAAAATATTCATTATTTTCAGAAAAAAATTAGTTTTGTTAGAACCTTAACTGCAAAATTTTCTGTTAAGCATTGGCTATCAACTAGGGCTTGCTTGAGAAAGAGACAACAAGTCCAATCCGGAAAAACGACAAAAACCATGCGTTTAAGTCTGAAAACTTGTATCAGAAGATTTTCAGAGAAATCTGCTAAATATCTCCTGTGTTGGTACTGAGTTAGGACCGAGTTGGTTAACTCATAGAGTAATTTCGGATAGGGTACACCGTCTGCTCGTCACGCTATCTTATTTTCGGCCGGATAGATTCGTGCAACTTCTTAGTCTAATACCGATCCTAATCTTACTCTTATACTATCTAGTCTCAGGTTGTTTAACTAGTCTCTGCTAGGCTCAATAGATCTAGGGTATACTGGTTTATTGCGGTTGCTGAAGTGCTCGGGAGAGTCCAACTAATTTCTAAGTTAAATTCAAATCTCTCTGGTGCTGAAATTACAAGTAACTTCAGCACTTACAAATAAGTGGGTTGTTAGTTAGATGGATCATGATTGGTTAATATTAAATACTTTACATTGGTAAAATATCTAAATTATCCAATCATAAAATGTAGTTTAGATCAGGTTCCACCCATCCGGGTTTTACAGAGTTTTTTAGAATAGTTCTTCTGCAATTCGAAGGATGGATGATGGAAGTTGGTGTTTGGCGAACATCTTATTTCTTCTGTTTCCTTTTTGTTAAAGAAGTTCCAGGAAGCTGGAGTTAGAGACATAAGACGTTGTGTCTTCTAGTGACAACGACTAAGTCTTTGCAACAAACTCAAATCTGATTTCAGAATGGTTGGCTATGTCAGGTTTTTCTGTTCTGCGTGGAGAACTTCTTTTGTGTCTGATCTAGTTTGGGAATGGCGTGGAGATTGTGCGTGGAGGGGATGCCTGGTTACTCGGATCTGTACGTATACTTGAACATCGAGGTGGTCATTGGTCTAGTTCAATGAAGTCCTTTTCTGCGAAGTCAAGTCGTACTCTAAATCCTTTGAGTTGTGATTGTGAGTGGCATATCGATTGTGGTTGGTCATTCTCTCTCGAGTGTAGTGGGGTCGTTTTGTCTTTGGATGTTCGTCCTTGGTGTTGTATTCTGATCTATGTATTGCATAATGTAATTTACATTTTATAAAACATTTATTAGTTTAATATTTTTTAGTTATGATTTTAGTTAGTTGTTTTCACAAAAGCTTTTTGTTTTAGTTCGGTTATTTTGAAGAGTTACTCACACTTGAGTAGCTCTTATTAAAAATAGTGGTGTGGTCACAAAGCGTGGATGTAGCGCGGTGGGTTAGGCCGGCTATAGAGCATGCTCAGGACGTCCTTCCTGGTGGGTTAGGCCAGGAGTGGGAGTATGATTTCATGCGGTTTTTGTGAGGGGTCCTGTTATGTGACAACGTTTTATGTTGGGTTTGTTGTGGTTTTTCTTATGTCTTGTTGGTTATGTCCTTTTTCCCAAAAATCAAATTGTTTGTGGTATGGGTTTGTCTTTTGACTTTTTTGTGTTTTATTATTTCTTTCTTAGACTTTATAATAGTCTTCAAAAGAATAAATTATCCAGTTTTAAACTGGGTTAATCCGGTTTGGGTACCGTTGGTTTCCTTTTCTTAGTCATGCTGTTATTTTATGATTTGTGGTATTTAGTAAGCTGCGTTGGTTAGTTTTGTTTAGTATATGATTCCTTTCCAACCGGGTTAAAGGAAAGTTTGAAACATGTTATTATATGTTAGAGTTGTTGAGTGTGAAAACTTGAAACTGAAATTCATTATTTTAAACAATTCTTCGTGGGCGAGCTGTGCGAGTGTGGATAGAATTTCTGTGCGAATGAATGAAAATATCAAAAGGTTAGTACTGCAATTGCATTTCATTAATTTACTGCATAGAATTTGGAAATTTACTGCTAGTTATGGGGGAATTTTAAGTTACAAATTTTCATCATAATTAAATTTACTGCTTGTGGGGAAAATTTTAGAAATGAATTTACTGCATTGGTATTAAATTTATAAATTTATAAGTGTAAGAGATTAATAGAATTTTTGAAATCTGTTTGATGAAATTTGCGATTTTTATTTGTCTTTTGTGGTCTTTGTAGGTGATTGTCGGATGAAGGCTAAAAATCTAAATAAAACATGGATAAAGTATGGTGAGTTTTTTAATATTTCAATTAGTTAGTTATATAGTTATATTCATTTAATTCATACTTACCTGTTAGTCGTCGGGGAAAAAACCGTGGGGGAAGATGTCGTGAATTAGTTCTGAAGTTGTTAGTAGTTTAGCTAAGATGCGGATGATATTTTTAGTCTGAAGCAGTGGCCAAAGCAATTGGAGTGCCTTGATAGTGGTTAGTTCTTCAGTGCCAACTGCAAACTCAAAAGGTGTGTTTTGGATTAGATTATATAATTTGTGATTGAATTTAGTGTTGTGGATGAATTCTAAAATTGGGATTTCTATAGGTTGTACAAACTCGTGCGGGATAAGGAAGGGTCGGGATTCTTCGGCGTTGAAGGTCTTGGTGATGGGACAGAAGATGTACATTTGGGTTATGGGATCATAATTACGAAGAATACCATGGAGGTTAGTGTCTTTAATACAATATGTGAAATTTAGGAAAAATGGTGAAGTGTATTTGGAATTAATGAATTGAAAACGATGGTGTGGTTGTCTAGAGGGTGTGTGTAGGTCAAAGTGATTTTGGATGAAGCGATAATAACTATATGTGTGGGTTTGTTTAGTGCGCAACATAATATCGTGTGAGCAGTGTAAATCTCTTTCGTGTGGTGCAAGGAAATGAAAGGTTAGTGAAAATATTTGGAAGCGTTCTTTAAAACTTTCGTATGCTTGTGTGTCTGTTAGTGCTTCTGAAATAATGTGATCAAACTTTCGGTCGAAGATGTTTAGTGTAAATATATATGGTGTCTTGATGAAAAATTTCTCGGTAATTTGTGGATTAGCGAAGCGATCGTCGTCTAAGAATTGATCTTGGTTAGCTCTGATGATGTTGTGATCATAGTATTCGAGTGTATATTCGTTAGCTCTAG